ATCACATGGGGTCAGCAGACATAAACCAGATTTTTTTATAATTATTATTTTTAATTTTAAGAATTGTCTTAAACAGGAATCTCCAGAAAAGCAAAACCAGTGATGCTTATGTATGTATATGTTGGGGTTTTTTGCTAAGTGTCATTGAATTGATTCTGACTCAGAGCAACACTGAATAGCGTTACTGAGAAGCAGCTGATGGGTTTGAATCACTGACCTTATTGTTCACAGTCCAGTGATTTCCCTACAGTGCCACACCAGAAGTCTAGGTATGTGTATATATATAGAGAGAGGGTCACTATGAGTGGAATTGACTTGATGGCACCTAACAACAACAACAAATATATAGATAGGTATATATATATACATACATACATACATACATAGAGAGAGAGAGAGAGTTTTATCTCAAGGAAATGTAGAGTCCCAAGTTCATCATCATCAAGGTGGACATTTCTCCTGATTCACATAGCTACAGGATTGACAATCTAAAGATATTTCAGCTAGCAGACCGTGGAAGCTGACAAACCTATGGCAAGTAAAACCACAGGCTGCTAGCTCACAACCTATGGAGGCTAACAAATCCCAAGATTAGCAGGTTGCTGAATCAAGTCCAAAAAATTAGAGGTCTGATGATGATGATCCAAGACACAGGATCCAAAACAAGCAAGAAGCCAGAGAGTTTTGCCAGAACATATTTATATATTGGGTGCAAGTCATACACCCAAGAAAACTCCCTTTCAACAGATTGGCTGCTAGTAATAGATCTTGTCATGGAAGTGAATACATTATACAATGATAGGGAGTCACTTCATCTTAACTGCCAAACGACTGAAAATCATGGCACAGTCAAGTTAACAACATACCTTGACCATCACAGGAACTGATAATCTTCATATTAAAGAATTTTAATATGTTGTTAAGTGCTGTTGAGTCGGTTCTGACCCATAGCGACCCTGTATAGGGTTTCCAAGGAGCAGCTGGTGAGCTTGAACCGCCGACCTTGTAGTTCAAATAGCTTTTCATTTTTTACATAAACTATCCTGGTGTAGCGCTGTGGGTTAATGCACCACACCAGGATAGTCTATGTAAAATTCAGTGATTATTATGGTTTCACTTTCTTCTGTCACTATTAAAGTTATTTTTTTTCTCTCAAAATAGTATGCAAGATATAATCCAAGTTTTGCCTGCCTACCTATCTTTCTCTCATTCTACCTATACTGAACTAGTTAGCCATCTTTCTGTCTATATTGTAAATACATATAGAATGTCTTAAATAGGCTTCAGAAAATCTCATGTGATGTGAATCTGAGCAGTAAAAATTCTGTTTCTGTATTTTACGGAGTCATGTATTATTTTGAAAAAATATACCAACAATACATACCAAACAAAAGTTATTTTTTAAATACAAAAAAAAAAATTCCCCCACTTACTTCTACAAGTTTTTTTTAATAACTATACACAAATAAAAGTGAATGCCTGTCCCCATACCTGAACTGCCAAGCTTTTGATTTTACTTTAGTTGTGAAAAGAGGTGGAAACTGTCTAGCACTGATCTTGAAATAATATTGATATCCACACCACACACATCTTCAGGAAGGCAATACTTTACTTTACAATTGTACTTATTTATTTTTTTTGCTTTTCTCCCTTGAATGATTGTACTTTAATTTCATTGTTTTTCCCAGAGGGAATTTTTAAAATAAATGCACTTTAAAATAAAGTATGTTGTTGTTGTTGTTAAGTGCTTTTGAGTTTTTTCTGAGCCATAGCGACCCTGTATAGGGTTTCCAAGGAGTGGCTGGTGAGCTTGAACCACCGACCATGTGGTTCAAATGACTTTGCAGTCTAGCGCGTTACACCACAGCACCACACCAAGACTCCATAATAATGTACGTAGTTGAATGTTTTATTCTCTGATGAATCTGTGAAACATCTCACACCATGGATGAGCCTGGAGGATACTGTGCTTAGTGAAATTGATCAATCACAAAAAGACAAATGTTATTAGAGAACAATGTTGCAAAAGTTTTTTTTGAAAAAATGGTTTTCTTAATGAAAGAAACAATCTATGATGTTTGCAGGGCAGGGGAGGGAAATTTGTTCTTAGGCTAGAGGGAAGACTTAGCATGGGTAACAGGGTAGGCAACACACAGAGGGAAGTTAGAGAAGATGAAAGCAGGAGGAGACTCAGGGAGGAATGTAATAGTTAATATGAATAAATGTAAATACTTTAAACTGTTGGTACATGGAGGGAATTGCAACCATGTAATAAAGCAATGTGCTACACTGCATAGCCATTTGAACTGCACGGTTGGCAGTTCAAGCTCACCAGCTGCTCCTCGGAAACCCTATACAGGGTCACTATGGGTCAGAACCAACTCAACGGCACTTAACAACACCAATGAAGCAGGAGTTCTGGTGTGGCGCTGTGGGTTAATGCGTCTTACTGCAAAGTCATTTGAACTGCAAAGTCGATGGTTCAAGCTCACCAGCTGCTCCTTGGAAACCCTATATAGGGTTGCTATAGATCCGCATCGACTTGATGGCACTTAACAACAACAATGAAACAAAGTAAATGATATATTGAATGTAAATTTTCAATTCACAATAAAAAGTTGAAAAAAAGTATGTTTTACTCTCACAGAAAGCAGTGTCCACGGTAACAGACTTAAACAATGGCAAAGAGGGACTAGAGCCCAGATGTTCTCATTTCCAGACCAGATGTTCCTAGAGAAAAATCAAAATCAAACCCAAACCCAATGCCATCTAGTTGACTCTGGCTCATAGTGACATTGTAAGACAGAGTAGAATAGCATTTCCAAGGCAGACAGTCTCATCTTTCTCTCTCAAAGTGGTTGGTAGAAGCAGCATTTCAATTAGCAGCTGACTCATTTTAGCCACCAGGCTTCCTCCAGAGAAAGACGGACTGACTGACTAACTTACTGACCCACTGCTGTCAAGTCGATTCCAACTCATAACGACACAATATAACTGTAGAATTGCTCCTTTTATCTTTGTGGGACTATGAATATCTACCAGAGCAGAGAGCCTCATCTTTCTCCCACAAAGTAGCTGGTAGGTTTGAACCTCTGACCTTGAGGTTAGCAGCCCAACACTTGGCCCCACTGTGTCACCAGGTCTCTGAAGAAAAACCATTACTGTTATTTCCCCCTTGAAGTTATTGAGTATAACTGGTTTTCATGGTGAAACCAACACTAAGCCATCAGAGTCATCGGTTCATAGAAATTTGCAAGGGGCCTTAGAGATTGTTTAGGCAGGAATTCTGCAGAGGTACCTTGGCAGCCTCCCTTCAGGCTTAAGCTGGAGCAGAGCTGGCGTGCTTCCAACCCAGCTGTTTAGTTGTTACCTGATTCACATATTAATGTTCCACAGAATTCATTTGAAACAGAGGTCTGACTTCTACAAATAATTTTAAAACCACTGATTACCTAATCTTACAGAAATGGAGAGGTGATTTAATAAAATCGTTGCAAAGTGAGGATGTTTCAGTGAAGAAATACCAACCAACTCATGGGCGAACAAGCAATCTTTGACCAATCTTATTTTTGGACAGTGTGATATCATTCCATTTAGGAGCAGCTGCTTTTCTGAGCTCATACTTCTCCTTTTCCTAAACCACTAGTTCACTAACCCAATTGTACAGACTGTACAAAATCTATGTGTTCAAGATATAGATTTGATGCATAAACAAGAATCAGAAAAAAATTTTAAGTGCCTTGTCTTCATGTTCTAACTTTGCCAGTTATCTAATTATCCTCAGTAAAAATATGAATCTGTTTTAAAGGTAG